AAGTAAGTTAAGTTGGTGAAGGTGCCTACTTTGTGGTTGAATCTCTACATCTAGCTTAGCCCATTTACAAAGTGCTGAGTAAATGCTTGTGCAATCAACGAGGACGTGTGCACAACTGGCCCTCATATAATAGGGTAGGGCCCACTGAAGGATGATATACAACAGGTGAAATAGTTAAGAGGGAACTGAATGAGTTAGCTAGGGTGTTCGGGCTCAGAGTTCAAGAAAAAGGTTAGGATATGCTTCAGTTTATGCTTGTCTCGAAGAATAAATCATTTTTTCTTGCAAATAATTTATACCTTTTAATGAAAAAGAAAATGGATTTGAAAACGTACTTTGTGGTTCTAACACAGAAATTGCCAGTATCACCAAGGATTTTTGTAGTTCACAATATTAGGCATGTGAATACTAGGCCAGCAGTAATCATTATAAATTGGTCAACACAAATGAAATAGCAATGTGGGAGCCATGTGGAATTTGCTCACATTTAAAGAATACTGATGTAAGTAAAGTAACAGTCTTCCTTGGGACCTTGACCTAATATGGCACACCTATTATCTAAACTGACAATCTGTTTGGGGCAGACCACGTCTCTGTCTCTTTGAACTGAATTAGCTGAAAGCAAGTCCCTCCTCTGGACTCTAATAATTCATGTTATTAACTCCTTAGAGGCCCTTTGAAGTACAAATTTGAAAACAAATGTGTTATCACATGTATAACAGTATAACATGTTATAACAGTATAACATCATTTCTGTTTACAATAAACACAGAGAAAATAAAAGCTACCATCTCAGAAGAAGTAAATACAAACCACATGAACCTGAGACTTTACTTTCAGGCAACCCTGTCACTCATGAGGCCATGTCACATTTCAGCAGCCAGAACTGGCTCCACACCTTTGCCTTCAACCTCTGTAGGCTGTTGTGTAGTCCCTGGCATTGATAAAGTCATTCAAAATTGCTGGGCCTCAGTTTTCCCAATGACAGGGTTGGACCAGATACAGATGTGAAAATAAATGCAATTTAAAAGCTGTTGGAGCCCCCCAAACACTTCAAGCCTTGAGAGAGATGTGGCTGCGATCTGAGTCATATAGCATATTTCGCAATTCTACTTCTTAGACTACAGCTTAACTTTCTTCCTCATTGTTCTTGTTCTGTAAATGACTAGGAGACAAGGGACCAGACCTCTACCTTCCAATCACAAATCTTTGTTAGAGGTTAACTACCTCTTTATTGTCCTATACCTAACTCAGACTAAATGGTCCTCTGAATAGGGACCCAATGACTGTTCATCTGCAGTAACTGCAATGGGATTTTAAATGTACCTTTCCCAAAAAAGAAGGACCATCTCAACTAATCAGGTCATTGTGACTATGTATTAAGCCTTACATAGAAAGATATTGAGATTCTGCTAAAATTCCCTAGGCTTTGTCTACATAAGCAATCTCAGACTTCTGTGCTTTGTAACATTGACTTCTATTGTTAGGAATCTGTGCTTCTTGGGTGGGCTTGTCCTCAATCTTTGTATTTAAACTCTCTTTAATCTAGATTTGAACCTTTTCATTATTTTACGTTGACACAGAGTAACTGAGAGGCCCTGTAGGTGGCTAGGACTGTACTGTCTTCTCAGTGCTTTCATCTATTTAATCTATTGCAGTTGGGGTGGACAAATCCAAAAAACAAAAAGCAAAATTATTTTAAAAAGGTGCTTAATGACTCGATTGTTCTTAAGATAAAAAATAGCTTAAAAATTATCTTAAATATTTTCCTGGGACAAAACTAGGAAAAAAGTTAAAACTATCCATATAGGTGGGTTTTCTCCCACCTCCCTTTTTAAATACCCAGGAATGTGCTGGCTAAAATATTCCCAGCAATTCCTGCACAACTCTAGAGGGCACCATTCATAACAAAGACAAGGTCAATGGTGTTTCCTGAAGCATGCCACTCAGTGGCCTTAAGGAGCCAATGAGTGGGCCTGCACTGGCATCGTATCTCTACTGCTTACTAGCTATATGATCCTTGGCAAGCTATCGGGTCTCTCTGATTCTGTTTCCTTCTGTATAAAACGAAGTTAATAAAGTATTTTCCAAAGTCTGCTATAAAAATTAAATTAGATAACATATGTACAGGATCTAATGTAGGGCAGAATACTAATGCCAATATTAGTTCTTCAAAATTATAAGCTATCCTATTTCATGGTATAAGAAACAATTGTATCTAGGACTTGTAGCCCATACTGTAGGGAGAGACCAAAAGATATTGTGAAATTGACAATAGATTTCATATACTAAAGATGTGGAAGCTACCCAAAAGTTAAAGAGGTTAGAATGTAGTGGCCCCAGGTGCACCTAATTTTGAAGGCTCAGAATTGTGATAACCGGTAGCAAAGAAGACTAATCAGCATACTAATTTATTAGAGTGTGTTGGCACAACTGTTATCAAGGATAAGCAACTGTTTAAGACATGCTGCATTCATCAAGGATATATGTGCTGCCAACAAATTACTACATGCTTAATTCAAACCTTTTTGTGCCTTTCTTAGTAATCCAGGACTTGTCAAAATTTAATTGCACTAAATCTTTAATTTGATTATTTAGTTAAGAAGTCATTAACCTATACAATAAAACTATAATTTAGGAATTAAAGACTTTCAAAATGATGGAACTGAAAGAGATTTTATATGGCATCTAGTCTAACCCCTACATACAACACCTGAGAAAACTGAGGACTGGAGCAGCTGAGAGACACACGTACAATCACAAAAGGCAAAGGCAATTCTGACACTGGTTTCATTAACTTATTCTAATTTTTTCTTACTACAGGAAACCAGTCTTTGGCTTTATCCAATACACATACCAACAATTAAACATTGGACATATGAGTTCCCATCTCAATTCTGCAAAATTTGGGGTTCACAAGGCAATGAAAGACAGCTGAAGGACTGGGTCAATGACAGACAGAAGCAGTGTGGTGTGGTGAGGCTGTGTGGGAAGGCCTGAGGATATTCAGGAAGGCAAAGGAAGAACAAATTAGAGATTTGTCGGTCGGAGATTTGAGTAGTGGCAATTAGGGTCTACTAAGGGACCAAATTTAGAATTATTCTCTCTATCCAGGACGTAGCACAGTGACTAGCATGTAGTAGGTTCTTATTCCTTATTTATTGTATGATTGGATACTGAACTGTAATCAAATGAATGAATGAAAAAGCCTGTTCCTAGAGAACAAATGAGAGCTTTAGGGGCAACAGAGCAGAGTGACTGCCTAGTGCAGTCTGTCAAAGGAGGAAGAGGAGGAGTCAGCAAAGCTATCCCTAACCTTAGCATGAAGGAGGTAGCTCGTTTCCCTTGCAATGTCAGTGAGTGTGTGGCCCTTTTGCTTCCATCCACATTTCCATTCTGAGGAAGTGCAAACTGGGTCTGTTTGGACACTCTAGCCAGGATGGAACATGAAGAAGTAGAATGCTTGAGGGGAGTCTTTCTCCAAGAGCAACAGAAATTTCAAATCCATTATGTCACATTACTTATAGAGAGACTGTGCTTACATGCTAGCCATGTAAGCTACTGACCATACAGACAAGGATGAGAAAAATGCTTCATAGCAGGAACTGAAGATTAAAAAAACAAACGTGATTCTAGGCTAGCAGAGCAAACTCCACCAAATGAAGAATAAGGGAGACCTGGGATTTCCTGGCCAACTTTCTATTCACTGAAAATGTGGCCATCTGTGGTCCTAAGCCTGGTGTGTTTCAACTTTCTGCCAAGTATCTTAAGGCTGGACTTTCAAAATAGGAATCATTTTAACAGCACTGGTGCAACAGACATGATACAGAGTCATATCTCATACATTTTCCGAATAGGCCAGTGTTTGAAATTCCCTTTTCTTTAAACATCTAATATTTTTCACTTTTGTACCATAGGATGTGGCCAACTGAAAAAATATACACCATTTATTAACTCTTGTATTTTCCTGGGATTAAATAGAGAAACTGAAATAAAAGAATTTGCATAGATACCTAAGACAGACCTTTCAAGGTTCTTATGATATAGGCAACTTCCTACTTAAAAAGAATGCCAAAACCTCAGTGGATAACACCAAAGAATTGGATAGTAAGTTTTCCATACAACTTGTAGTGACTAATCTCAAAATGACATTATGTGTGTCAGTTGCTAGGACAGAGATGGATTCTGCTACATGTTCATCTAAAACACACACAGTCCAAGGAGAAGATGTGATATATGTAATGTGATCTTCATTTAACATTTGATTAAGGCAAAGCTGGTGTATTTTTTAAAAAAGTCTTTCAAAACCAAGAGAACAGGTCAGTGAAAAGACCAATGATAAAAACACTCTTCCCCAACTCACAGAGTTGTCAAGGCTTTTACAATTTTAGCACAGTTTCAATTCTCCAAAAAGAAATGCCACCTAAAAAAAAAATGTGCTAAACACCCTCTAAACGTTTCTCATTATGTTGCCACTGCTGGTACTTACCGCTTTACACTGCACTCTTACGGCTTACTGCACTCTTCCTAGCTCAGCTCTATATGCCATTCAAGGAATAAACATGAGCTGCTATTTTAAAGAAAGGGAAAGCATCTGTTGGAATTTTTATATTAATATTTGTAAAACATCTTGAGAAAACAATAGGAAAAGGCAACCCAGAAAATAGTGTTCTGCAATGAAAAGGTAGTGGAGAAACCAATCTAAAAGGTTTTTCTAATAAAGAAACAGCTTTGTTCTTATGGTACAAATAATCTTAGCTAAGTGAAGAACTAGAAGGCTGATTCTAAAAAAAGACCAGCTTTTGGACAAGAGTGAAAACATATCTTTGTGTCTAGATTTACCATACAATAAACTCCCTGGAATGGTTCTCACGTTGTCTAGCTCTGAGCATTTTGATTCTTCTTTTGTTTTTGTCTTTATGCTGTTGAACACCTAACTTCTTAAGTAAAAGTGAGCCTAAAGAAGCAGGATGACTAAAGTCACACAAATGTCCACTCACCTCCCATAATTTTGGATTGGCAGTTAATAAACTCCGGCTTCCTGTCTGTGAGGTACCTTTGGCAGGTATGGTGAAGGATCTGGAAGAAGGTGCATTTTTCTGATGCTGTGCTGGCTACCCACTGGTCAAAAGCATTTTCAAACAACAAATCAAACTCTGCAGAATCCTGGAAAAGACAATGAAACAACTACTGATCTCAATCTATAGAAACTGCTGTTTCTAGCTTACTTCTGTCAAAAGATTTCTAAGGCTAAAACAAAGACTTTGATCACAAACATAAGGCTCATCTTTATCCAAGTGTATGGAGTATCCATATTTCTCTGTTTGTGAAGCAAACCCCAATTCTTACAGTATTGATAAATGTTCCTAGGAAACTAGTATCACACAAATTGAGAAAGCCTAATCAAACACCGAAAAATGTCCGAGTTCAGACCATGTATTGTCTTCTCAATTTCCTGGAAAAGGGATTCCTTTAGGTTCTCAGCAATGACCTATATCAATCTGGCCCTAAAACTTTGTTAGGAAAAGATTCTGTCTTGCTATTTTAGTCTATAGTAACAATTTATATTTTATTATTCTTTATTAACGTTTTGTGAGGTGTGCATGTGAGCAATGGGAATGTACTTTACATAGATAACTCTGCCATAAAATGTTTCTCCTATTAAATGCAACAGAGTCATAATACATACTTAAAAATAGCATTCATTTACTTGATTTTTGGTATATACACCTTGTCATTGATGGCATTAGGAGGTAAATGAGGTTTTGGTAAACCTTTTTTTTCATATTAATAAGCATGAGTATGATTATCTGCACTCTGATCTTTGTACTTTGCTGATCAATGTTATTGGAGGTCACATTTCTTCAATATGCATTCTCTTAGGTTCCTCTATTAAACATGATGAAAAGATTTATAATTTTCCATAAGAAGGGAGTATGCATCAGAAAGTTTTAATCACATAATTGAAATAGAGAAATCATCTTTTTAAGAATGATTCAAATCACCACTACCAAGGTCAATCAGAGTCATCTTGTGAAAAGAATGCCTTTGCTCAGCATTGGACAATTCACTCACCCCGTTAGGATCAATACCATTAACCTGGCGAAGCTGCTCGAGCATCCACTGTGATCTCCGAACAAATGATGTGGAGCCTTCAAACTGTTTGACCTTTGTAATGGACGCCTGTGTGGGTTTCTTGTTTGTCACTGCCAAGAAAAGATCACTCAGATTAGTGCATCTGAAAGTCAGAGGTTTGTTTCGACATCCAGTGCTGTTTCTACATGACACTTACTGTGCATATGCACAATAACAGAGAAACAGGCGGAGGGGGAAAGTAGGGAATATGAATGAATATGTGCACCTTTGGTTAGGGGTGAACATACAGGAAACAGATATTATAATCTCCACTCTCAAGCAGTTTACAATATAATTATAATTGTAAGGGCTGTTTCATTTATATCTTTATCCATTCAGACCGAAAATGACTTAAGTGAATAACACCAAGTACCTTTAATGGAGGCTACAAGTGCACAATTACAGCTTGCAGGAAAAGAAGCATATAGTGCTGACAAGCATCAGGTAGGGTTCATTAGGAAAGGCTGAATTTTAAAGGAAATGAAGGTAATTGGCTCCCCTAGAGAACTGCAAGGTATATTTCTAGTTTTATAGCCTAGTATAAATATCTTAGGTTTCAGTGAAGAGGAGTTAACAAAAACCCCAAACTATTTGGCTCTCTAATATTGTCCAGTTTGTATCTAGTTTGCATCTAATTATGATTGAATCTGGTGTTCTGGGCACACCTCCACACTTGCAGGAAAAGGACAATTTCTCCTCTCAGCCTCAGCGAATTCTTCCCCCAAGCCTTTCTGTGCTAAAGATGGACAGCATCACCTCTCAGACTGATGTGAAGCATCAGGCACAGGAGAGGCACTCTGATTTTTCTATATCTGCCTACTTTGTGACTTGGAGACTCAAGGGTAGGAAGTAATTAATGGTCTTTAAAGGACTTTCCTAAAAGCTTCTCCTGAGCCCTGGTTGTAGGAACTGGTAAATTAAATAGAAAGGAACTGGGGAAAGTAGAAATCACTATTGCCCATAATGAATATGATCCTAATTACTGACTTGCTGAAGACAATGCACCTGTGGCATATTCTTTCTTTCTTTCAAATCACCCCATAGATTCCACACTTTCAAATAACTATGCAGATGCTCAACAGATGGCAAAAAGAATTCTTTTTTTTTTATACTTTAAGTTCTGGGGTACATGTGCAGATCTTGCAGGATTGTTGCATAGGTACACGCCATGGTGGTTTGCTGCCTCCATCCCCCTGTCACCTATATCCGTCATTTCTTCCAATGTTATCCCTCCCCAACCTCCCCACCCATTGCTATCCCTTCCCTAGCCCTCTACCTCCCAACAGACCCCAGTGTGTGATGCTCCCCTCCCTGTGTCCATGTGTTCTCATTGTTCAACACCCACCTATGAGTGAGAACATGTGGTGCTTGGTTTTCTGTTCTGTGTCAGTTTACTGAGAATGATGGTCTCCAGATTCATCCATGTCCTTACAAAGGACATGAACTCATCATTTTTTATGGCTGCATAGTATTCCATGGTGTATATGTGCCACATTTTTTTTATCCAGTCTATCACTGATGGGCATTTGGGTTGGTTCCAGGTCTTTGCTATTGTAAACAGTGCTACAATGAACATATGTGTGCATGTGTCTTTATAATAGAATGATTTATAATCCTTTGGGAATAGACCCAGTAATGGGATTGCTGGGTCAAATGGAATTTCTATTTCTAGATCCTTGAGGAATCGCCACATTGTTTTCCGCAATGATTGAAATAATTTACACTCCCATCATATGGAATCTAATTAAACTTAAGAGCTTCTGCACAGCAAAATAAACAGTCATTAGAGTGAACTGGCAACCAACAGAATGGGAAAAAGCTGTTGCAAGCTATCCATCTGACAAAGGGCTAATATCCAGAATCGACAAATAACTAAAGCAGATTTACAAGAAAAAAACAAACAAACAACCCCATCCAAAAGTGGGTGAAGGATATGAACAGACACTTTTCAAAAGAAGACATTTGTGTGGCCAACAAACATGAAAAAATGCTCATCATCACTGGTCATTAGTGAAATGCAAATCAAAACCACACTGAGATACCATCTCATGCCAGTTAGAATGGTGATCATTAAAACATATGGAGAGAACAGATGCTGGAGAGGATGTGGAGAAATGGGAACACTTATACACTGTTGGCAAAAAGAATTCTTAAGGGATAAAGGACAGAAAGTACCTGCTCCAATCATGGTTGGTGAGTAGAAAGACTCTACAATTCATGCATTTCATAGCTGATTGCAGTTTCATTGTCTGGGGTCATTAATGCAGGAGAGCAGAGACCCAGAGAAAGGAATGAAAGGTGGCCCCTGCCTTTAGGTCTGGTGAGAACCCTACTTTCCCAGCACTGAAAACCACCTTTGTGCCCTTAGTACTATCTACTCTCTCTGCCTCCAACCAGAATTTAGCAAATATTTGTTTTTAACTTCAAATAATGTTTTGGTTTTCTATTACCCATTATTTCAGTTATATTTGCTAAAAGCTTCTGAATATTTCATACAAATTACATTTACTCTTACGATTAACAGGTCATCATCCTCTTAACACTCATAATCAGATGAAACTTTATAGTCTTTTATTCACAAGTATGAACAACTATTCCCTCTAACTGAATTCATGCAGTATTAACAGTCTGTCCAGTACTTTATCTATTGAATTTGATTCATTTATTTCTTGTGCCTCCTATGACACAAATGAGAGAACTAATAGATTTCTCTGATGACTGTGACCTGCTGGTATGATGTTTTAATGTTAAAGAAAACAATACACCTGGAATATAGGCAGGTCTTCAAATGTGCTTAAAACATTAAAGAAGGCTTTTCAATAACAGGAAAACATGGGTTCCTGTATTAGACACACCCCCCTAAACACACAAAGAGAATTTCCTCCTGTGTTTATGTAAATCATACAACATTTAAGCCTGGGAAACATGAAGGCTTTCTTTCCAACTTTAAAGTTGTTATGAGCTCCTATTTTCACTTCCAGTCTATTTGTTTCCAAGTAATTTACAGCATTTTAAAGCTCAAACACAAAGCAAGATCACTGTATGTTGCTGGCATGTTTTAAGATTCACATCTTAGGAAGGTATGTTCCATTGGAAGTTTGTCATTGAAATGAGGCACACAGGAACCCCAACTATTATGACAAATGTTCCCATGGAATTCCTCAAGTACGATCACACTGCAGAGCAGTCATTTTTAATGGAGGCAGTTGCAACTTTATCCATTTCTGCCTTTCTCCCCTATTAGTTTATTCCTTGCCCAGTTCTTGGAGTCTGGCTAGTTTTCCCCGGCACTGAGCCCAGTTTGGTTTAATTTTTGTTTATTGCTATTATCTCCAGCATCCTAGTTTCTATTTTGAATCAGGTGCCTTAAAATTATATTATTATATACACATTGTATAGAGTTAAATGAAGACTTTCCCCTTTCAAAATCAAAACACACACATGCATCATTGCTAGACTTTTTGAGTACATACTTGAAGGAAATATGTTTTAACTATTTCATTGTTTTGGTGTTTTTGGGGTCAATAGCGATAAAAAATAAGCCAGTCACACAAAATCCAGATGTCTAGTGAAAAATTGTGATTTACCTTTTCCTTCCAAAGGGAAGCTAATTGGCAGAACAGCCTGAAAAATGCAACCAAATTACCTGGATCAGTAAGTAATATAGAGCTGCACACCAGAGACTCTCAAAGTCATTATTTTGAATAACTTTAAAGGCCAGATAACCATGGAATTTCTATTTTTTTTTTTTTTTGAGACGGAGTTTCACTGTTGTTACCCAAACTGGAGTGCAATGGCACGATCTTGGCTCACTGCAACCTCCGCCTTCTGAGTTCAAGCAATTCTCCTGCCTCAGCCTCCTGAGTAGCTGGGACTACAGGCGCGCATCACCATGCCCAGCTAATTTTTGTATTTTTAGTAGAGACGGAGTTTCACCTCGTTGACCAGGATGGTCTCGATGTCTTGACCTCGTGATCCACCCGCCTTGGCCTCCCAAAGAGCTGGGATTATAGGTGTGAGCCACTGCTCCCAGCCGGGAATTTCTATTATGTCTTCAACATTCACAAGGAAGAGACCAACATAGGAGCATATAACAGTGTAGGGTGGGCATGACTCCCAGGTAATACTGCAGACCACTCAGAAGCAGCCAATTCACCCGATTATTGCATTTGTATCTGAGGCAGGCAGAAGCATGGGGGCAACCAGATTCAGGCCACTTTGCTATTAGCTCTGAAAAAACAACATAGTTTTCATGGCTTCATGCCTCCTCTTTGGCTTTCATGTAGACTTGCTACTACATCTCAGCTTTGGTTAGGAAGCAGTGATACAAACTGTTATGTCCAGAATTTCCAGAATATCATTGCCATCACTACCCAAGTGGAGTAACATCTCTGTCTCATGAACTAATGGTCTAAAGAGCTCTTTTTTTAAAATGGCCCCTCCATGAGACATTTTATAAAAGCAAAATTTGATGACTTGCTATAATCAAAGGGTGGAGACCACTGACCTTGCCTGTGCCCAGTCAGAAAATTCTATTTAATTAAAAACCAATAAGCCAGCAAATAACAAAGACATGTCATATCAAACTTGGTCTTGCAACAAGTTGGGAAGGTAGAACTGATAGAAGAGGGAACAAAGACCAATGAGGAAAGACAGAAAGACAAGTCATTTGCATGTTATATAAAATGGGAGAAGAGCTTATATACTGCCACGTTTCAGAGGCAGATCCTCTGTTTCAAAGTTCAGTGATTGAAAGACCACTTTTTCCAAAAAGCCACATTCTTACACCTATACTCTCAACATTCACAGCATAATCCCTCAACTATTCTAAAAATAAAAATCAGTGTAGCCTGAGACAAACTATTCAAAATAAATAGCCTTAAAATACCATTTAAAGGAAATAATAAAGAAAATAATTACCACCTCAATATCCTCAACTATCTCATATTTGAGATAGCTGAATAACATCTTTTTATACATTTACTATAAACATTGAACTTTATCTTATAACTTTATGTGGCCATTTCTCAAAAAAAAAAGAAAAGGGGTGAAAGAAAGAAAAAAAAATTGT